GCTGCTGCTGCTGGACCTTCCACTGTAACTCCAGCCTGACGACGCCGTGCCACGCCTCCCCTGGAGCTTCCCCCCTCCTCCTCCTGTGCCCCCCTACAAAACGACAACTACGACGGCACGAACATGACACGGGGAGAGACGGACGCGCTCATTTGAGTCTAATCAGGGGCCGGCCAGGTCAGCTCTGGAGGCTCCAGAGAGCCGCGCTGGAGGCGACGTCGTCGTGCACAGGAAGTGCGCCACGGTGGCCGGCACACCGCAGATTGACTCCGGCCCAGGCAGGCTCGCTCGCCTCGGAACGGCTTACATTCCAATACCTGGGGCTCAGTGTTGAATTTCGCGCGCTTGCGTGAAATACGCAGTAGGTCCTGTCTAACTATGGTTTCAACCAGTCTCTTTCCGAAATATATCTACGCAATGAAAAAATTTCTCCTAGTCGGAGGCAATCGAGGGCCGTTCCGTTGGGGAGTCATCCGCTGACCCTTTGCCCTCTTGCCCCGCCCCTGACAACCCTCTCACGAGCGTGTGCTGTGTGCCCCTCCCCTCGACTGCTGCGTCCGAGCGCCCGTGCTATATGCCCGGCCTTTCCAGGAGAAAGAATGTAATGTAAGGCACCGGCGTGGCCCCCGAGCCCCCGCCGCGCCCCGTCTGACCATGCGCGCCGGGTTGGGTTACTGCGGGTCGCCGAGATATACGCCCGTACGCCAGTCCATCAGCCCATTGACGACCATGCGGGGCTTCGTTTGCTTCGTTATGAATGAAGCCTTCTTGGCCGGCTGGCGGGCGGCGGCCGGCCGCAGACAGTATATAATAATGCGGGGGCTGAAAATCGACCAGGCTGGAAAAGACGAGAGCAAACTGTAGACATGAATGCTACCCTACTTGTGGCCGTGTGGTGCGTCGCGACGAAAATGTTTCCCCCGCCCGGTCAAAGTTGAAGGTCTTGCACCTTTTCCTCCGCCGAGGGGCGCTTTAGGACCCACGCGGGCGTGTACTGGGCGCGAGGACCCCCATACGTTTATCGCGTGCACGTGCAGTGGCACTCGTATGGGATACACACACGTCCCCTATTGTCCCATTGTTCTTATGGCGGTTGAAGGTGTGTTGTATGGCCCCCCTCACACTCAAACATGCACTCGGCCGTCGCTGCCCGCTGGTTACCAATGCCCCTGCCCCAGCCCCGAAGGCCCCTCCCGCGCCACGCGGCGCCAAGACATTTTCAAACCCGCCCGCGCCAGCTGCCACCCATGTCGAGCTGCCCCCGTGCCCGGCGCGCTGCGCAGCTCGCGACACCCTTCTTCTGGTCAGAGCGCGCGCGCGCTCCATATCGGCCAGCTGGCGCGACCTGGCCTGCTGCAGCAGCAGCCGCGTCAAAGGCGTCGCGCCGCGTCGTCCTCGGCCTCCTCAATCGTTCTTATTCGCGACTAACGCATTACGTATTCCTTTCTTATCGGCACGGCCGCCTCCCCCCACCCTCCCCCCTCGCGACACCCCCAGTCGGTCGCATAGCGGAGCAGCAGCAGCAGCAGCAGCAGCGCCAAGAAAGGGGAGCCTTCTCGCCCTCTCCGCCTCCCTCCCCTTTTCTTACAGATCCGTGGGAACGGGAAGGAAGGAAGGCTGGCCAGCTCTTGTGTGTGCCAGCAGGCACCCCCGGCCGGGCCCGCACCTGGCGACCCTCTCCCGGCGGCGGGAGCGCTGTCCTATCCCCCCACCTGGACCAGATCTCGTGGGAACCTCGTGCGTACTACGGCTACGGGACTGTTGGGGCGTGTTGGCATCTGTGCTGCTCGTGTGTGTGTGTGCGTGCGTGCGCGCGCGCGCGTGTGTGTGTGAGCGTCTGGAGGGCAGCGGGTCGGGGCTCGCGCCGGGCGTCCGCAGGACCCGTGCTCCGCGCGTGCATCCCCCGGTACCGCGCTGGGGGCGCCGTCCGGTGTACCAGAATAATGTGCGAAAAATGGTAGCGCTGGATTTCGCTATGCTGAATCTAGGAACTGCATGAAACTTGAGACTTCGTGGCAGATCTTGGTCTATTTTGGCTGATTATTTGTGGCCTCAAGTCAGTGGTCTCAGTCAGATTTGGCCGAAACTCTCATGTCCTGAGGCGACAGTCTCATGTCGTATGGTAGGAAATCTCATGTCTTGGAGACATGAGATTGCCTACCATAGGACTTGAGAGTGCCGCCTCAGGACATGAGGTTTTCGTGGTGGTCGTACCCGACGTGCCCTCCGTCGGGCCTGGTACCCCTCCGGCCAATCTCAACCTCAGTAATGTCTCATCAATCTCAACGACTGCTGATCTCATGTCCTGTAAGCCCGCCGTCCGCCGCATTCATCGTGTTAGCTGGACTCACTGACTAACTAGTAGTGTTTCACTACTTGTCTTGCGTCTCCTGTACTCTGTGACGTACATTCAAATCAGGCCTCGAGGCTTCCTTCCGCGTCCCCGCACCAACGACCTGTGCGAACGGCCCTAACGACCCGCGCTGCCCTGGCGCTGCCCTCTGGCGCTGCCCTGGCTCTGCCCTCGCTTCCGAGCTCGCTTTTCACTCGTGGCGTGATGCTAATCGTTTTCGGGAGGCGCGCGCGGCTTCGAGTTGGTTGCCAGCGTGCGTCAGTGCACCATTTGGCCGCCGCGGCAGGATGAATAATACATTTCCATCAACAATCGCCAAAATGATATCGAAGTTCTAGCGACGTTAGAGTCTATACTTTGAATGGCCTCTCTCCATTGACCGACGCCGTGGACACAAAATTTGAAATTAAATTATGCACAGTACAAGGGCGCCTGTGCGGGTTGGCCACCTTGGGGGGAAAATACGAATATGGTTCCCGCTGTGCGCGGTTCGAGAAAAAGTAAGGAAGTCTGGACCGAAGCCAGTACCTTAAGTTCACTGATTATGAAAATTGACAGTGCAGTTAGTTCGACGTAAATGACCTGAAGTGACACCCTCGTAACGGTCAAGGCTCATTTGCACTACTTGTTTTGGCCGTTATTTTAGAACTATTTCCGGTGCTGATTTCCTAAATTCTTCTTAAAACGGGCACTGCCGGAACCATCTATATTGCGGCGATCCTGCATGTCGACGACGCGGTGCGCCGCATCTCCTATTTAGTAATTTCTATTTCTTATACCCGCGCCTCCTTATCTGGCAGGTTCGGCTCGGCGCCTTGCACGCGCGTATTGCAACGCCACGTGCACGTATGCAAAGCTCGTGGCAATGGCTTCTTTTTTTTCCTCGCTCGTCGAACCAGTCGAACTGCAACACACGCCATTAGTGGTGCAGTATGCGCTCGGGTCACTTGAGCCCACTGACTGAGTAGCATAGCAAAGTGGGGGCAAAAGGCAAGCGCTACGACACGGAAAAGTTCAGGGCGAAAGAAAACCCGAGCAGGCGCGGAAGCTTGGGCAAAAACGCATAGTCGGATTCGCACCGCGCGCTGCTGTGACTGGTCGCGGGGCGTAACGACATGGGGCAAAAACTGTTGTTTGTCTCCTCGTCCGTTTTGAGCTAAACGTTCCCGGGGCCGATCACGCACACTTCTTCCATAAAGTCCTCCAACGAGATGGCGCGCTGCGCGAGAAAGAAAAGCAATAATACGACGCCCGGCGCGTATAAGAAACACCGCAAACGAAATCAGACGCATCTTTTATCGTAGCTACGCCGTGGCGATAGAGACAATGTTGCGTCGAACCGTTTAGTTGAACCCGCGGCTCGGCGGGTCGCGTCGCCGGGGTCAGGGCGCTGCTGCATGATGCATTTGGAGCGAGCGCGCGCGTCATGTTGTCGCGGAGGGGGCTGGCGCCGCGTGCACATAGCCTCGCTGCGAGCACGCGCGCGCGCGGCGCGACACTCCCGGGACACGTTATACTGTACGT